AATCTTAGCTATAAGGTATAATCTTAGCACTTCTGGGTTGTTTTTTTTCCCCCTGTTTGTGCTACCAATTTAAGAAATGAGACACACCCCTAAGTCTTTCAGGAATCAAAAGCCACTGTTTCTTCATATGCTGAGTCTATGATAACAGCAGACAAATCACACTTCTCAGCCAGCAAAGCCAGTGTCTTTATTTGCAACTGCTCAGAGGATCTAAATTTTTAACAGATTATCCTATTTCCAGGATAGTCCTGGAAAGCAGAGGAAGATCCACGAGGACACCCTGGAGAGGAGCTGCACTGAAGTCTCTGCTAAAGGCCAGCCCTTTAGTGCAGCTGCTGGAGGTCAGGGGGACACAGGAGGTTTGGAAGCAGCAGCTGGACTGAGCTGCATGGATCAGTCACCACCTCAGCCATCCTCCACCCCAAACACAGCTCTCTGCATCTCACCACGTCTGTGCTCCAGCTTGAAAGGGGTCCCAGCCCCTTTCAGAGGTGGCCAACTTGTAAGAAAACATAGAATTAATAATAATACTAAAAAAAACAGCATCACACCACCCTCTCAAACCTTCTGTTCCAATCTCCTTGCAAATCTGCCCTTCCTGCCTCCAACTTCATATTTTTCTTTGTTTTCTGTCCACTGCATAGCTAAAGTGGTAGTTAGGACACATTCTGGCTGGCTGAGATCTTAATGAATGCTCTAAGACTGCTGCCAGGTGACAACCACTGTGTAAGCTTACACAGACTGATTATGGGGAAAATATAACCAGCTGAACACTTTTTATAGCCAAAAAGATAATGCTACAGCAACCAGCAAATACCTAGCTTACATGATTTGCTGCTACTGCCCCAAGAAGAGATACAGAAAATTTCTCTTTTGCATCTTCTGTGATTGTTCTCCTTTCCCTGCTTTTTACACATGACTTGGGTTATTTTCCTGCAAATATTTTACTGTCACATAGGACTTGCATTAAGAAAACCAAAACAAGCATACAGGACAATTTATATTCAAATGAGAACAAGGAAGAGAATCAAAATAAAAATGTTCCCAAAATAAATACATAGATTGTTTAGACTAGAACATGTGCTTGGTTGCCATTTGTTTCAGCCTTGTTTGTGCTTGTTTAACACATTTTCAGATGTGTTTACGCTAAGGCACAGTCCAACATAAACGTGGAAATCAAAGGAAAAAAAGGCATGTAGGAACTGCAGTAATTTGAAAATGACCAGGTTTGATGTGGTAAGTGCTAAAAAACCAGCACTGCTAATTAGATGTTTGTCAAGGCCAGCAGCCAGCCATGTCTCAGGCATGCTGTGCCAGCTGGGAGTGGCATCAAGGCTGGCTCCACAGAAGGCACACATGGAGGCAGGAGAGCCTGGCTCCCAGCACACCTGGCTCCAGGTGCCCTGTTCCAGCCTCCAGCACATCTGGCTCCAGCTCCCAGCACACCTGGCTCCAGGTGCCCTGTTCCAGCCTCCAGCACACCTGGCTCCAGGTGCCCTGTTCCAGCCCCCAGCCCTGCTCAGTGCCAAGGCCTGTGTGCTTGTGCAAACCCTGCTGGTTGCCAATTCCTGCCTTGCCCCTCACAGAATGCAAGGCTGGGGCAGGGGGGTGACCTCTGCAGTGAACTGAACCAAAATGTACCCTTTTCCCTCCACACACCTCACCAATCACTCTGAAATAATAATAAAAGGAAGTTTTGTACATGTTGAATCCAAATCCAAATAACTCACAGAGATTACAGAATAGTTCACTGACACACAGATGGGAAATTCCTGGGCGCCTTTCTTCTGGTGTAACACAAACAGATAAAACCGAAACACTGACAGAATTCCTGCTAAATTACTTCTGCTTTTAATAACTGAACGTTTCAGTTTTCAATACAAAGTAGCAACAAGCCCAAAGAGTTCAGTAACACAGAACTACCTAATGGAGAGTGACCACTGACTCCACACAAGCTCCTTTCACCTCCTCAAACCACACTGGCATTCAATTTATATTGAATTAGACTTGCATTCTTTTCTTAGAGATACCATGGTGCTGTGTCAAAGACTGAAGGATGTTCTGAAAGGTTTGTGGGTAATTAAGCAGACTGGGCAGAACTTTTCCTCCAGTATTTTCAAACAGATTTCTTGTGTCAACAGGCCAACTTCCCTACCAGACTGTCACCCCCACCCCCAAATTCCCAAGTTACAGATTACCCCCACACATCTGTCAGCCTGAAAAAATGTGTCAGCAGAATAGCTTTATCTGCTAAACTTGTTTGCCAAGGGCTGCCACATCCTGGACTGTTTTCCATAATCTTAAAGCAGCTGAACAGCAGTCTCAGAGTCCTCCAAGAAACATCCCAAACATCTCAGCACACACACACAGTCAACAAGACTTAAAACCAATTTTAAAAACTGTGTGTTAGTCTTTATTAGTGCATCACACACCCATTAGTGCAGAGGAAAACACAGAACTAACTCCAGAGCCACCCATCCAGATGGGATAGTTCTGTGGGATGCTGAGTGCCCAAACACTGCAGGCATGGAGGCTTTGCAGGACTGACTGAACCTCAGCCCTAATCCCCAACCCTGAACAATCCAACAAGCCCCTGCTTTCTCTGATTTCACAGGAAGAGGCAACTTATACATCTGCCCTTTATGTTTTACCTCTAGTCTTCAAAAAATCTACCACTTCCCACAGGAACCTCAGAAGCATCTTAAAATAAGGCCACCTAAGGGAATTTCAAAGTCTGCTACAGATTTTAAGGGGTGAATTTCCCACAATTTTGCTTTTTTTGGATGTCACTCTCTCTTTGCAATGGTTCATTGGTTTTAAGTAACAAAATATTTACTGCTAATATGTTTGGATCAAAACATCCTGAGCCCAAATGCTGGCACACCTCCCTTCATATGTGCAAGTGAAATGATTTTTACATAGAAGAAATGGCAACACACGTTTCAGAGCATATTTACCCCCAGCTGATCACTGCATGGAAATCAGGGATTCAACAGTTAGCTAATTTGGGGGAAAAGAATGTTTTTGCTGAACTATAAGCTAGCATGGATATTATCACAAAAAATTACTTATTTCTATAAGAAATTACAGGGACTGAAAAAAAGCACATATATTGGAAGATTCTGTGGTTAAGGACTAAGCAGAATAGCAATGCTGTCATGTTTGTGGAGCTGCCATTCAGTGACACCTTTATAAAAGGAAGAAAATGTGTATGGGAGAAGTGCAATCTAAAGAAATGGTCTGTATATCCCACATTCTGGGTCTTCTCAAGAGCACTGCACAATCAAACATTCACATCACCTTGACACAGCCTAGGATTTTAACTGCAGTGTGAGCATTTCTTCTGCTAGGGAGGGAAAAAAAAAAGCCAGAAAGAGAAATTTCAAAATTTGCAATTACATTTCTGTTCATTGCCTAAATCCAGTGCTGAGGCAAACCACCTGGTTCAGGCACAGCACTTACACTGGCATGCTCAGCTACTGTCCTGGCCAGGAACAGGCAGACATCCAAGGATTTCTTCTTGCTTTATCTACTTTATTAAACATCAAAGATGTCAGGAAGTTAACCCTGTCACATTGCTGCAGTCACTGAGTGCTGCAGACACGTGAGCACAACGTGACCTTGCAGCCCCTGTGACAGCAGTGCCTTTGCCATCCAGCTCAACACCTTGCTCGTTCCTGGGGCAGGGAAGATGCCCCAGAACTCCAGAGCATTGTGCTAAAACACCTCCCACCCATCTCTGTGCTGCCAAGCCTTTCAGCACTAACAGGAGTTTCGTGCCTTCCATCACCTCACTGCAGTGCACACACAAGTGCATTGCCCCCAGCTTCACACACATGCCTGGGTCTAGCAATTCTCAATCAAGTGACTGGGAGTGCTTGAAATGCTCATGGGATGAACAAATCAATCCCTTCATATCTGGAAGATGGTTTTTCTGCCTGACAGTCAAAAACCACAATACAAATCCTAAATACACTAAGAAATGGTCTACCTTCAAAGCACAATTATCAGCTGTATTTCACTTCCTGAGATAAACAATATTTGCAATAAGTGTAAATACTTCAGAAGTAATTTCAGCTTTAGCAAATTTTCTAATATTAAAAATACAAACATAGCTTTCTAAAAATTTATCACAGTCAGAAACAAAGTCTTCCTCCATATTTATCCCATTCCCATAGTTTGACTGGGATTTTGGGGACAAATGGAGACACTGCTGACTGGGATCCTACTGAACTATTATGCCTTTTTGAAAAAGTGAATAGCTCCATCTAAAAGGTCTTTCTGTTCCAAAGCCAAGTTATATAGACAGGTATGTGCAAGAAGTATTTCTTTTTATTCTCCTTTCTTTCACAGATTTCTCTATAAGGTGTGTGGGAAGTGATTTCCCTGCTGCTCTCTGGCTCCTATGCCCTACTGATCACAGTTCACACACGAGAGGTTTCTAATTACCACTTCAGCTAATCAAGGAGAGGGAACACCTCTTCACCAGACATGGGGGACAAGGGCTCACTCCATGAGGGAGACTGCAGCTGGACACATCTAGGGGTCAGGACTGCAAGGCATGGAATATACAGCAGGATTTCCTGAGGATTTTGAGTACTAAAGCAGCTTCAAGTCATAGCTGCTGAAATTAGCCCAGGTATGAGCAAGCAGATAAGCTCTCCAAGTCTGACATTTATTCCTAAAAGTATTCTAAACACAGTACTTAATCTCTGCAGGTATAAATGGAGCAGACCAACTGCTGTATGCTGCACTGAATAAAAAAATGCCAAATCAGGAGAAATGAGATGGACAAGATCTAACTCTTATGGCCAGAAGGATTCCAAAAGAGGAACCATCATACACATACATCTTCCCCTAAAGCAGGAGGAGAATAAGGGACAGATTTCAGATTTCAAGCTCAAGGCTTTAAAACACAACACTGGCTGTTATTAACGATTCAAACAAAAACCTCAGGACAGTAAATTTGTTAGGCAAAGAGGAATTTTGAAGCTGCTTACCTCAGTGGACCATAATTCAACATGATAAAGGCCAGTATCACCATCACACACAGTGTCCTTCTCTTTGGAGATGATACTTTGAGCTTCTGGTTCTAGACAGAGAAAACAGAAGATACTGAGCAAAGGAGGGGCACACATGTGCAGGGGTATGTCAGAAGCCAAGAACACCAAATTACACTTGATTTTTAGCTCTACACTTGCCTAATTATGTGTGAATACATTCCTGAACTACTTAAAAACAAAACCTTGGTTTATACATTACGTTCAGCTTCTATCCAGTGAAATATTCAGAAGCACCATGAAGAATTAAAAGTCTACCAGATAATGTGTCAGCTGTCCTCTCCTAGGTGAAAGTCATGGGCTAGAAACCCACAAAGTTCTTCCAGTCAACATTTCCCCAGCTCTGTTGTAGTGCCTTCCACCCGAACAACCATTTTCATATAAATCAGATTTCACCACAATCCCTTACCTCTAATACCACTTCATCCAGCTGCCTCTTCAGCGTGCTGTTTTCTTTCTTGAGTTTCTCATTCTCCAGCAGGGCTGCCTCCAGCCTGGCCTCCAGTCCCAACATGTATTCCTTCTTTTTCTTGCGTGACTGGAAGGCTGACTCACGGTTTTTGATCATGCGCTGCTGCCGCCTCAAGACATTGACCTGAGCACACAATACACAAGTTCAAACTGCCTCCATTCCACACAGAATTTCTGCCTCTCTGCTTTGTCAAAGGTCTGCACAGACAGCTTCCCACTCTCTGCTTCAAATGAGCTGGAATGGTCAGCACAGAGGCACCTCGGGACCATGGTACACTCAAGGAAAAAGCAGGTCCTGCACTGGCTCAGTTTTCCTCTGTATTCCCAACATCCTACATGCAGGGGTCACCAAACATATACTCCAGTTTGATTTGACCCATCAAAGCACAAAGACAGAAAATACCTATCTTCAGAGATAGAGACCAAAAACATCTTTCACCTTGGCTTCTCCCTGCACCATTTCACAGGCTACAATCAGTCACCTGCTTTCCTAACAGGAAATTTCTAGGGTTTCCCAGTCTGTTCCGTATGGAAGTAATTTCCACACTGATTACACCTGCTTCTGTACCTTTCCCACCTATGCTACACAGTTTTGGAGATTTTGACTAGTGTTGTCGATCTCAGATTGCACATTCTATGTGCATCAAGCACTTACACAGCAGTTTAAATGCAGTCTCTGGGGGCATCTACACTAACATCTTAATTCAGGTCAGGACTGTGGCTTGGGTTCACATTTCCTGACTGTCCCACTAAATATGCTTTGCTTCACATCACAGAACAGCCTCTGAGAGCACACAAACTGGATTCCCTCAGGATGAAGCTCCACCAGCAAACATGCTCCAGGAGAGCACATACTTCACTCTAACCACTAGCAGGCATTCAGTCTGCAAGACCAGGCTGGGACAGCTCAAAGCAACCCCTCCCCATCCTCCAACAGTCCTGATGACTGACTTTTTTCCCAAGCAGGAACACTCCATCATCTTTTACCACTTACTCATTTTGTGGTTTGCACTGAGTAGGACGACCCAGACCAAAAGCATCTTGCTGCTGACAAGGATAACAATGATGAACACTGTAGAACTATACAAAACTACTTGAAATCCTAAGTTTAAACACTAGTCTATTGATTTTCTTTCCCTCATAGATTAGCAACTCTGTTTTCATTAGGAACAAAGACCTCCATCACAGTTTTAAGCTGCAACTGGATTACACTGACAGATAACTGAATGATCCATCTTACACAGACCTGGATACCCTTCAGTACCTACCACCACAGGCACTGGTGTAACCTCTATCTCTCAGAGCAGAAACATTGAAGAAAAAAGATAAGAACTATTCCAGAAGTGTTATTCTAGGGAAATAGTATAATCACAGAATTGTAACATTAACTAATTCAGATTTTGAGTCTGGCTACGTAAAAAACCTGAACCACAGCTTTTTAATTCTCTCCTTGTATCTACCTGCATACTGACAAATATGCTGTTCTAGGGCAATGGTGTCTTCAACAAAAAAATGGCCACAAGCTGTTTGAAGACAACATTCTCCTTCAGGATGCTGCAGTCTGGTGACAAAGATGAAGAAAACATGTTACAGTGCATTAACATTCTGGGCTGCCTCCATGTTGGTCTAATTGCTCTTTATAAAGATCATTTATTATATGTCTAGTCTGCTGACACCAACAAAAGTCTGTGAAAGTGAAGCTGTTTGTACTTACTCCAGTTTCTCTCTTTAGAAGAGAGTGGAGAAGGAAAATATTTTAACATATTTCATTAACACTAAGCTTTGTCTTGAATTTTCTTAAGTACTACAACATTTAACATAAAAAAGCTTCTGCAGACATATAAAAACTTGACCAAAAAAAAAGATTCAGGCTAGCCAAGAACTGCAGTGTATAGAACACACCAGTCTGGGGCCAGGATCACTTCAGAGATGAAAAAACAAGGAATGAGTTCATGCAGCAGCTTTGGCTCAAATTGTGTGCTATTCCAAACAAGGAGTTATGTTCCCCTTTTTAAAAAGAGTTTTGCATTATGAACTCGGAGAAGACCAAATTGTTTACATCCATTCTTGTTTGCAGACCTGCTCAGGATTATTCATTACTGGACAGCTTTTAATTACATGTCTGGAACCTCTGGCAAATCTACATGGCTCCCTGAAGAAAATAAGGTTAGAGCACCAGTGCAGTGCCTCTACACTACATCCTGAGGGACATCTGTCAGTGTTTCAGACACTGCCACCTACATTTTGCGTGTTATTTATCCAGATTGCTCTGCTTTACTCACAGCTCTCCCCAGCCTGACTCCAGGTACTCTGTGCAGTGTCTGCATTTCAGTCTATGCCACACCAACTACATTTTGACTCAGATCTAAAGCTTGCTTAAATGAAATCCAGTATTTGTGTCCTTAAGTTATTTTGCTTTCATTTACAGTCCTTAAACAGCTTAAGGTGCTCCTTGTTCAGCCCTGTGGGTCTTGCCTGGCTTTTCCTGGGGAATGTGCCACAGCTGCACACCCAATCCCACCTAAATGTGCTGCAGGAAAAGGAAAGAGCTGCGTGAGTGAAATGCTGCAGGAATGCTGAACCTGGAAGCAGTGTGGCAATCAGCATTACACAGCTGGCCCAGCACCAAGGCAAACATGCCCCCTGCTCGAGCACTCTGATACTCAGGAGGGAGAGGAACTCATTTATAATGTCAGGCTGCTTCAGCAACATTGCCTTGCACAAGTGCTAAACCAAGATTAAAGGTAGCAAATGCCTCTGCTAACTTCTTTTGCAGCCTCCAACTTTTAAAGTTGTATTGTATTGATGTTCCACTCAGGACAGCAACTTCTGGTTCTAAGGAAACACAGATCTTAGAGAGAGAATATTGCCCTTAAAAACCATCAGTGATGCAACTTCTGCTTTCTAGCTTTGAAAACTACACCACCACTACCAGTAACACACACAAAAATGCTGCAAATATGGAGAACTGGCAGGTTCATTGCAAACCCTTGCTTCAAACAGCACTAACCAGATGCAGATTATCCTTTATCTTCAGAGGTTTTACAAAGAGTCATGTACTTTTCAAATAAACACTGCTACCTCCATTTAATTCCAAAGAAAACTCGAATTATGAGCAAAATTTCACCTCCCTTCCAACACAAGCTGTACTTCTAGAAGCAGGAATGTCTCTCATACTCCAGAGAGTTTTTTGTACACGTGCTGGGAAAGTTAACAAAGAGCTCACAGTACAAACCACTCAACGTAGCATTAGCTGGATTCTTACCTCAGCTTATGAAAGCTGCTGTCTTTGAAGACACACCTTTGATTGCAGGAATACAAAACACATGCAAGGTTTATTGTTCTTATGGAAGTTCTGGGTTTTCTTGTCTCTAACTCAACAGAACACAACTTTCTTAATGAGCTTATGTTGCACAAGTATTACACAATGTACAGCACAGAGACGAGGATTCTTCAACAGAAATCCACACTTTTCCTCAAGTTATTCTGCATAATTAATCTTTTCTGGATTTTCAGTATCCTGCCACTTGTCCATGGCTGGCAGGCTGCACATATGTGCCACCAGCACAGACAGGACTTCAGGCCTACAGCCTGCCTCAGCCCATCCCAGTGTAATCCACGGGCAGTCTGAGTGCTAAGCTAACACTTTATCCCTCCTAAGCCCAAAACAAAGTCCTGCAGTGTTGCTTTTTGTCCTGCAACATCTGCTCAGATTAGCAAACAATAACCCGTGCTACCGAGCTCAAATGACAGCTCCATCTGTGCAGCCCGAGCGCCACCAACGACATCCAAGGCAGCCAGGAGATGTTTTAACCCTGCTGGCCCCAGCTCAATCTCAAAACAATGAGTTTTGCTAAAGCACTTTTTCACAATATGTGCCAAAGAGCAGTTGCAACTGTTCTTTCATGTTGTAACAAACATAGGAAACACGTGCAGCATTTCACAAGTCTGAAAGGCTTTGGGTGGAAATCCCCACACAACCACACTCAGAAACAAACCTGTTTGTTACCCCAGCTACACACTGACTCCTGATGTCATGGGTATGCATATGGAGTATGGGGACAATCGGTTTTGTCAATTAAACCTTACATTCAGACAATGGCTTACAGGGAGTCACATATTCAGTGACTGCAGGTCATTGATTTTGCAGCCAGGGAACTATCACTAATGCAGCACACTTAACTGCTCTGCCTACTGACAGACCTTTGCTTGCTTCTTGCACACTGAATATCAAGTTTCCACTGCACTCTGGCTGCTGAATTATTTGGAGCACAATATTTTCATTATAAAAGGCAGCCCACACACAAATACGATTTTAGTGAGGAAAAGTTACCATCAAGCCTGAGCAGCAATCCCAGACATTGGGAAACCATACAACAATGTCACTCCAAAGAAGCTGAAGGAATAAACTTCCCACTACTTTTGGGAAACAGTACCTGCACTGCTAATATGCAGGTATCTATACAGCAAAATTCCATGTGTTTTCACCCTCACAGTGAGATTTGATAGGACCCTCAGCTCACAACTGTGCTTGGAATACCACACTGGGGAATCACAGAGTTTTCAAGTCACCAACAATAAGCTTTGGTCCTTTCCAGAAGCATGTCTTCTTTGGACAACAAAATGCAATCAGAGCAGCTCCAAATTAGCAGGAGTTTAATCAAGTTAACTCCCAGCTTGCTAGCTGGTTAAAATGGCAAAGCTGAAGGGAAAAAAAAACCCCACAATCTTAAAAACTACTGTTTATGCCTACTGCTTAATGTGAGCTGCTATGGAAAAACTTACTTATTTGCATTGTAATTGTTAAGAGCTTAACCCTCTTCTACTCACACAATACAAGATCAAAAGGGAGTCTGAAGAGATTAGATCATATGGAACTCAGTAACTCAAGTTTCTAAAAATCTTGAGCAAAATCTTGAGAGATAAACGGGTATGGAAAGAGAATAAGCATTGAAATTTCGATTTCAATGATGCAATTCATCTGCTTCCAAAAATATTTTTATTATATGGATTAGAAAAGTGATTTAGCACTAATCAAAAATCAGATATATTTATGTAAGAGAGGGCCAGGCACTGAGAGCTTGCACTTGAGCAGACAAGTGACAGAAAATATCTACCAGCACTGTGCTCTGCCACTACACTTGCACACCTGCTCTGCAGCTGCAGGCAGGCCAGCAGGTATTTAACAGCTCCTCCCTGTTCTGAGCCAAGCTGCTAATTCCCTGTTTACAGCTGCAACTCCTACTAAGAGCTTTCCTGAGGCTCTGAAGGGACCCTTAGGCCCCACATGCAGCAGAAGTGACTGAGGGAGAGACAAGGCGTGGTTAGCAGGTGTCAGAGTCAGAACTTACATCCAGCCCCGTGGCTGGGGCGCTGCTCTGCAGCAGGGGCTTTGTCACCGTCACTTTGGCGCTGCTGGAGCCGCCCCCAGCAGCTGCAGACAGAGCCTTCACCGCCTGGCTCTGCAGAGCTGGGGCTCCTCCAGCCACTGCAATCACTGGCTGGGAGGCAGGAAGCACCCCAGAAGCCTGGAGCTGTACCACTGCTGGCTGGGGCAGCACCACCGAGGGACCTGGAACAAAGAACAGCAGCACTCAGCACGGATATAATGAATTTGTACATCACCACTCTGCAGGGGCACACTGCTGCCTTCTCCTGCCCTGCACAACTGATCCCAAATCCATCCACATTCCACAGAACAGGGATGGAAAGAAATTGTTCCAAAGTTTACAGGACTCTTAATCCATCCTGCAAACCAAAACTACAGATTTTAAAGGAATCCAATAAACCAAGATCTTCCCCAAAACTTAATAAAATTCAACACTTGTTATATACATTACTCAGTATTGCTAATACTTGAAGCACTCTGAATAACCTTTTCAAAGAATTTAGCCAACTTACCTCAATATTCCTTTTGTCTCTAACTACTTTATTGCTGCACTCAATGGAAAACTTACTACACAGAAGTGACTCTTGCCACACAGACCAATTCAAACTAGCAGAGAGATGGAAGATGAACAAAAAAGAAAAATGCAAGTTACACTTTCAAAATTTACACTGAAGCTTCAATTCACACTAAGACCATTTTTTTAGGAAGATATCTTATGCAAGAAAGTTTATACACAAGCTGAACAGAGCTTAAAGAAAAGCTGGCAGAAAAAATGAGGTAATTTTAACAGAGTTTGAAATGGAATTAAAAACAGTCACTTCCAAGAAATTTCAGTCCAACAACTACATTTAACTCAAGCAGGTGCTTGAGTAATATTTTGTTTTCTGAAAACACATTAATGTCTCTCTAATCCTTTGTAACAGGATGACCTCGCCAGCTTTCAGAAAGAACACATTCCAGCTGAGCATTCCAACACAAATGCACCACAATGGATTACAGCATTTATCCAGCCTTCTGGAAGGTGAAAAGTGAACTAATTTACCTAGTGCCAAGATCTTATATATGGGGGGAAAACTAGACTGTTTCTGGAAAAAAAAAAAAAAAACCAACAAAAAACTCAAAGACATTGTAACTTAGTGTGACCCAGTTTAAGAATCTTAAATGATGAATTTGAGATTGTTTCAATTTTTTTGTAATGTATAAAAGAGATGATGCTCTAAGACCATGCTTTCTCCTTTAAGCTTTTATAAAATGGGCTGAGAAAATCAAATTTATCATGCTTCTTTGAAGATAATGGCATATTTCAAACTGGTAGTTCCAACTTGTCATATGCAGGGGATTCAGACTAATGAAAAAAGATCCTTATGGTTTTTGTTATGGAAGCTGCACAAGAGAATTTTTAAACATACCATTAGTTAAAGGAAAGCATGGACATACTTTCTCAAAAGTATTTCCTCCATACTGTCTCACAGAAACTACTGTCCTGAATTTTCTTCAGGGAAAAGGAGAAGCTGATCTTCAGAGTACTAGACTTATATGCCCAGCATTCTTTACTCCAGATGACACTTTATCAGCTGGAACATCAAAAGGAGTAAGAATTAGGTCATGCTGACTGTGCTGAGCTGTGTTTCAAGCAGTCTAGCAATCTTAGGCATGTTATAACAAATGTCAGCATCTCCAGATTTGGCTGAACCCCTAATGGAAGAGAAATCAGTAATAGAGACAAATTTTTCCCAACTGCAATAATTTCTAGATATGTGCCCTTAAGAATTTGTCTCCTTTTCCTTCTGTGCCTCAGTGCCTGTGCAATCAACTGCAAGGGACTGTGGCCATCAGCTGGTGAAAGGAGCAACTGCAGCTGGCAATTCCTGCAAGGCAAGCAGTGTCCTTACAGCCCAGGCTGGAGAGTTAAACAGTGCTTTGGATCCAGAAATGACAGCTCAAGCTACTTCAAAAACGGGTAACAGGGTAACTGTACCAATGAAGAATTATCAGGGGGCAGGAAGTAATTTTCCTGCTGTTAACATCAGCAGTTTTTCTAACCTCTGACACAGCTCTCAATTTTTAGCAGATTTCATTCTATTTAATGCTGTTTAGTGAGCTAAAAAGCCATTAACTCATGCTCCCACCATCCTGTGGAAGAGATCCATGTGGGTAAAAAAAAAAGCTTATATCACTTCTCCCAAGCTTTCCAGCTTCCTTCAAGCCTTCCTACCTGATTCTACTGGATCTTCCTTTGGTTATGACAGAACAGCACTGTAATCACCTTGTGCACCACCTGACATTTCAAGCAGAGCAGAGCAAAGCATCCCTACAGATCCTTCCAAATCAGCAGTTTTATCCCCACAGCTGCCAGTGTTGGGCACAGCCTCTGTTTTCCATTCTAAATAGTGGAATTATATAATCCAGCCTTCCATTTTACACCATGCTCATGTGAGTGCTGTTTCCCACGGGACAGTGTGAGAGGAGTAAGGCCATCTTCTCAGCCTGAAGCTTTTACAGCAAGGCATGTAGGATCCTTTTTGCTCCTATTCCTCCTCTTTCATACACCAAACCTAACTTCATTCTATCAGTCATCCTAAACAGACAATGCTACCACCAAGACCTGGCCCAGTCAGGACCATTCACCTACCTTTAGGAGGAGCTGGCTGGATGTTAACAACTGGCTGATTCTTTGGCAGTGGCACAAGCGTGGGCAGAGTCTGAATAATGATGGTTTTAGCTGGGATGCCAATGTTAGCCTGAGCTTCAGGCACAGCAGGCAAAAGGGGTTTGGGTTGTAGCAAAGGCCTGGACACTGTCTGACCACACTTCTTCAGGCTCCTCGCAGAATTATTTGCTAGGAAAGGAAAAATAGTCAGAATTGGACCAAGAGGCATAAAATACATAATTCAAGCAATAATGAAGTGGCTTTTAATGTGGGGTCTTTTTTCCATCTATAATATTTGCTAGCAATAAACACATCTGATCACATATCCAAGTCATAAATGATAGGACATGTAGTGTCTGTTAGTTAATAATCTGGATGCAAGACAGCACACATATCATCTATAGGATGAAAGTAACTCTGTCTCTCATACCAGAT